GCATTCGTGGCTCTCTGGCAGCAAATTCGGTGTGTGAACGGGGCCACTGTATAGTATCTTTAGAGGTTTCCCCCTTCTCAGTAAGCTCTTTCCCAAAACTGCTTTGCTATGATCTTTTTGGAAACAACACTGTACAACCATGTTGGCATATCATATGGAAGGAACTGCACTTATCTTCCTTCTGGAAAGGTCCCACCCCCATCTGTGGGGGTTTTTTTTACAGAAAAAATAAAATTGCTAACACAACAGAATGCAATAACAATATATCAGACTTATCTATTTCTGTTTCAAAATTTAGGTAAAGGTTTCCCTTGCTCGAAAGCCAGTCGAATCCAACTCTAGGGGGCCATTTCCCAGCCAAAGAGCCAGCGCTGTCTGAAGACTTCTCCATGATCATGTGGCCGGCATGACTAGATGCTGAGGTGCACGGAATGCTGTTACCTTCCCACCGAAGCAGTACCTATTTATCTACTTGCAATTTCTTGCTTTTGAACTGCTAGGTTGGCAGGAGCTGGGGCTAGAGACAGGAGCTCACTCCATCACGTGGTACTCAGGTCTCAAACTGCCGAACTACAGACCTTCCAGTCTGCAGCTCAGCGTTTTAATAACCAGTTCTAATATTTTTCAAAATGAAAATTCCAGCCCTTCCCGCTGCAGTGATAGGAGGAGGAGGAGGAGGAGGAGATTGGATTTATACCCCGCCCTTCACTACCCAAAGGAGTCTCAGAGTGGCTTACAAACTCCTTTCCCTTCCCCTCCCCACAACAGACACCCTGTGAGGTGGGTGGGGCTGAGAGAGCTCTTGACAGAAACTGCTCTTTTTCAAGAACAGCTCTTATCAGAACTACGGCTTGCCCAAGGTCATCCAGCAAGGTGCAATTGGAGGAGTGGGGAATCAAACCCGGTTCTCCCAGATTAGAGTCTGCACACTTAACCACTACACCAAACTGGCATGTGCTGCAGTGGTTAGAGTGTCAGAGTGGCATCTAGGAATCCCAGTCTGAATCCCCAGTCTACCATAGAAGTTCACTGGGTGACCTTGGATCAGTTGTGAGGATAAAATGGAAGTGAGCATGCAGTTGTAAGTATCAGAATAATCAACTAAAAATAAATAAAAAGCTTGGTCGCTCAGCTGAAAGTGTCCAGAGGGAAGTTTCAGCCTAGCAGCTATTTAACTTCCATAGACATGTGTTTGCTTTTAGAATCATAACTAGAGAAGGGGAAAGGAAGGGTGAGGACTCTGGAATGACACAGTCTGAGGGCTTGACTCTGCATGAGAAAGGAGCTGCACTGGGACTTCCCTCAGATAACAGCTTGTGTGCCACCTTTTTGCATATTGGAGGGAACTGC